TCTCATCACCCTCACTGGTGCATCCAACCACCGCAGAGTCATCAGTAAACCTCTGAAGATGGCAGGTCTTTGTGCATTGGCTCAATTCTGTGGTGTAGAGGATGAAGAAGAAAAGGGAGAGGACGGTCCCTTGTGGTATAGAAACCATAGCTGTTCCCATCAAAGTACATGATCCGCAGGAGTAGGGGGTACATGTCAAAGTAACACCCACATGAATGGCAGGACCCATGGTTTCCAGCAAAAAAATGCAGTTAGGAGAGAGACAACTTTTTTTTTAAAAGTTTTGTACATTACCACAATGAATTATGAATTAAAAAACTTAGATCAAATTGAAGTGCAGACTTCCAGCTTTAAGTCAGTGGGGTGAATAAAAAGATTGCATAAAAATGTGAGGAACTAAAGAATTTTAAAGTAACTGGACAAATTAAAAACTGAAATTAAAATGTTTATTTCTAATACTTAGTTGAAAACCCATTGTTAGAAATGATAGCGGAAGTCTTGAAATCATGGACATCACCAGATGTTCTCCTGTTTTCTCCAGATGTTTTCTCCTTTTTAATGCTCTGGTAGGTCTTTACTGCAGCGACTTTTAGTTGCTGTTTGTTTGTGGCCCTTTCTGTCTGAAGTTTAGTCTTCAACAAGTGATATGAATGCTCGACTGTGTTAAGATCAGGTGACTGATTTGGATCTTCAAAAATATTCCACTTCTTTGCTTGAATAAACTCCTGGGTTTCTTTGACTATATGTTTTGGGTCATTGACCATCTGTATTATGAAACACCGACCAACCAATTTAACTGCATTTAGCTGGATTTGACCAGACAGCTTGTCTCTGAACACCTCCTCCTCCTGCTTCTGTCCTGTGTCACATCGTCAATAAACACTAGTGTCCCAGTGCGGCTGGCAGCCATGCACGCCCAAGCTATCACACTGCCTTTGCTGTGTTTTACAGATGATGTGGTATGCTTTGGATCATGAGCTGTTCCACGCCTTCTTCACATTTTTTTCTTGCCATCATTCTAATAGATGTTGATTTTTTTTTCTTTTATTATCTTTTTAGCAAAGTCCAAACTGTCTTTCTATTTTTGAGGCTTATGAGTGTCTTGCACCTTGCAGTGAACCCTTTAAATACTTTCATGCAGTCTTCTTTTTAAGGTAGACTTGGATATCGATATGGCTACCTCCTGGAGAGTGTTGTTTACTTGGTTGGCTGTTGTGAAGGGGTTTCTCTTCACCATAGAAATTATAATAAACTTTGATTTTTTTTCTGTTTTCACAGCTTAAGGATGGCTTGTTTCACCTGCATTGAGAACTCTTTTGACAACAT